AGTGAACAGTGGCATTTTTTATCCTAGCTGAGAACATGGTGATGGTTCAGAGCCATATTTCTAGATCAATTTTTTTCCAGGCTGTAGGACTAGTGGTACAAGCACCTCCTTTGCTACAGAACCTGCTATTTCTTTGATTCAGGTGAAAAGAAAGTAATTCAAGAAGGATGTGCCGAGCTTATTGATTCCATCAAGGCCTTCTCTCTCTGATGATTTTAAAGCCAGTAAAACCTACAATCATAGAAATTAAACACGCCTTTGCAGTTTGTCCCATGAAACCTAGCTGACCTTCTGCAGAGTGAAGGTTGAACAGGACGACTTCATTTTCTGTTCCAGTCTTTTCAACAGCCATAGCAGACTGTGAGCACACTGTGTTTTGGCTGGATTAGATTTATTCTAGTTAACAATCAGGAATAAGACCAGACTGTGAGATTTGGATACAAGGTTCACATCTAAGAATTTGGTTGAGGCTTTTAGAAGAACTAAAAAGCATTTGCAAAACTGAAATTAGAGTTCAGATTTTTAAGCTAAACCTTCCTCAGTGTTCAAGTGCAGCTGAGCCCATCCTGTTAACCAGTATGAATAAATATTTTGCATTTGCATCTGATGCAAGTCGAAAAGGTAGTCACAATTCCATGCTTTAAGAGAAGTCCTGAAGATCCCTAAAAGCATTTTTAACACTAAAGTTGGATAATACTTGGGACTTATATAGCACTTTACATGTTCAAAGTGCTGTATGAGTATTAATCCTCACAGCATCCTTGTGAGGTAGGTAAGTGCTAATAACCCTATTTTAGAAATGGGGTGAGGGCCTGGTCCCCTGCTGTAGTAACTTGGCATAGCACTGGCCCTCATATGCTTTTGCCTTTTTACACCAGATGAGGACCTGACCACAGAAAATGTGACTTACCCAAGGCCACGAAAGGAGCAAGCATGGATAAAAGGTAGGAGAATTACCCATGAGGACTTCTGTCAAGAGAAGTTAGCAACTTCCCATCTTCTTCCAAGAACACAGTTATGATACCTCTGCCTAAAAGAGCGCCTGTCTGTATCCAGAAACCTAAAAAAGGAAAGAGGCACCTGCCACTGAGCTTTACAGTTGCTGTTTGCTTTGATCTGCTTCTTCCAGAACAGCTCCCAGAATTACCATGATAACAAGCTGAAAACGTACAGGTGTTGGTGTCAAACTATGGGACTGGAAAACCTTGAAGAGCCAGTAAAAATTCTGCAAAGTTAGTCCTGGGAATTTTATATATTCATGTAAAAAATATATAAATTACCTACACTGATTACAACAGGAAACTTTCAGCAATCTACATAAAGGACATGTTAGAGTAATTCTTAAGCCAATCAGTCTTACAGTTGCCTCAATATGGAGGAGTAATAACCCAGGTATTCAGTATGAATACCATTTCCTCAGTAGAGTAGGAGTAAAGCTATTCAAATCCTCTGGCTTTGTTCTTTTTGGCCTGCAATTTCTGCGTGAGCATCACCCTGCTGACATCAGTGTGCCTGGCACAGCCCAGAAGCATCACTAGCATTTAAAAACCAGTTGCAATTACCACTGCGTCTTTGACTTCTACACTAGGAGTTCCATGCAAGGATCTGTCTACAGAAGAAGGCTGAAATAAACCTGTCAGGTCTTTTATACGGCCAAATAAGGAGAAAAAGGATCTCCAAGAGGGTGGTAACTACAGAAAGGAAAGTGAGTGCAAGCAATCGGATCACGTGTGTAACCTGAAGTGACCGTAGACAGGAATTGCAGAGGGGTGTTTGGATACAGCAGGGTGAAAAGAAAGCCTCTGTACTTAGCAAGGAAAGGAGCTGCTACTGCTGGGGCCAGACACACTACACCACTTGGGATGCTTCATTGCCTGGGCCAAAGACCGGGTGCTTCTCAAAGAATGTACCCCTTACAAGGACAAGAATGGATTAAACCTCACAGTTTTACGTTTCGAAGAGACAACGGGAAGGTCCACAAAGGCAGTGCCACAGACAGTCACATCATTCCCATTTTGTTTGCTCCATTTCAAAGTGGAGATAGACCTCACTGGGGTCAAGGAAACCGTTTTAATACCAAGAAAAGGTTTTTAGCAGACTGCCAAGCAACTGGTTAGTGTTTCTCAGGGTTTAGGAATCTCAAAATTGTGTCAAATCACCATCCACAGCAGGTGGTCCCTTCCCAGCAGATGGTCTCATTCAAGTCATATGGATTAGAAGGAGGAATGCAGAGTGGGAGAGAGATTTTGAAGATTGAGAGCCTTTGCTGACAAACCACCAAGCCAGCCAGGACTCTCCTTCTTTGTATGTTGAGGGCTCTGCCTCGTGTTCCTGGGAAGGCTGAAGCTGTTGCAGCACTGGGACAGAGCCAGTGTGACTGGCCAGAATGTGTCCCATCCAGGTCACTCCAGGTGAGGGGACAGCAAGGGAACAACAGCCCACTTGGGCTGCACGTTTCTGCCGTCCCACCCAGAGATCTCTGCCACCAGAAACTGCACCTCTGATGGCCAGTGGAGAGGAGAGGCCTCCTAATAACACTTAAAGACTCTTTTCTGCAAGTATCCAGTGGCTGATGGTTGAGTAAGACAGCAAAGCAAGATGAAAAAGCACAGAGAAAAGCAACTCAGCTGTCTTCAGGAAGTTGAGGACTACTCATTTCTAGAGAGGAAGAAAGAGAGAATCAAAACTAAGACCTTTAAACAGAGCTTATTTTATCACACACGCATTTCCCTCCAAGCAAAGGGAAGCTCAGGATGCAGGGGGCTCCTCTGAAGAACTGCCAGCTAAGGACTGAGTGTGCCAGACCAATGTGCTGTTTGCTCATATGCTGGGAGGATGGTGGGGTTCACCCCAAATGCTTAGATTTCCTCTTAGCTGGGTCAGTCTGTTGCAGGAAGAGATTTGCAAACAGCCAAGCAGAGTAACAGCAGGTGACATCTGCAGAGAGCTACACTGCAGGGTTCAATCTGTGGCCAGGAGACAAGCAATGCTGATGAATGAAGGTGGTTATGGCTCTAAATTCCCTTAGCTGTTTACTCCAGGCAGGCCCCAGTGCATCAGTGAATGAATACTGACAGTATTACACAACAGCATTAAAGGGAAGGGATTACACGGGGCTGTGCTACCTACCATGCTTTCCCTCTCAATAATGCAGCTGACCTTTCTGATCTCTGTCTGAAAAGCAGCAGATGCCTCCACGGGGTCAGGACAGTTAACCTAGATTTTTGTAATACTGGCTGCATTTGCACTGATGCAGAAGTCAGAAGGAGGCAAGGCCTATTCCCCACCCAGACACACCATGCGAGGCCGGCAAGGAGCAGGAGAGCCACTCAGCACCTCTCAGCACCAAGGGGAAAGCCAGCAGGGCTGGTAGGGCTTCCTCAGCTGCCACTGAACTTGCCAGACTCCTCGCAAAGACGAATTCCTTTTCTGCAGACTGGGCTAGGGACTAAGTGCCAGGCTTTTGCTTGGAATGGTCCTAAGCATGCTAGGTGTGGAGACTGTGATGATTTCTCAGCCCACAAGGCTGGTCTGGATGGCTGCCCCTCTTGCTCCCTCTGCCCATGTGGCCATGTGCAAAGGGCTGTTGAGGATTCAATGGATTCAAGTGCAGTCTGTTCTGGTTGTCCCTGTTTGGCAGCAGTTTGAAGAGGGGCAGGAACGCTCAGCAAGCTTCCTCTGCACACCTGAGTGCACTTGTGTTTTAAAACAAGCCACTGGGGAAGCACCTCAGCTCAAGGGAGTGGCCTGAGGATGGACAGAAGGAAGAAGCACATTCAAGATAGTAATATAGTTTCATATAGAAACAGAGCTTGCTGATACGTATCCTAAATAAGAGGAAAAAAATATACATATGATCACAAATGAACTTGGATTAAAAATCAAGGCAACCTCTTCCTACATCTTTTTAAGAAAGTCTGAAGTCAGAAATAATCTTGATTAAGCAGATGGGCAGACAAACCAAACAAAGAATTTGGATCAGAATTAAATAGGCTTTCCCAGCCCCATCTGTGCATTCTCACTGTGTCCCTGTGAGTTCAAGAAGGAAGCACCAGGCATTTTGAACACACAGGAAGTGCATTTCAGGAAGCTCTCCTGAAAAGGGGCTTTCTAAAAATAAAGAAGTGGTGCAAAGATGATCGTTTACCACCAGCTGGCAAAGCCCAATAACAATCTACATCCAAAATAAAGGCCTTGACCACAGGAAATGCTCAGATGAAGATTCAAATACTGCAGGCAGCAGTACTATAAAGCTTAATGGGTATATGGAATACTACTTGTTAGGACACTGGGGAAGAAAGACATAAAGGTTGGATTCCTGTCTCCTGTATTAAGGACAACTAGGGTATACACTAGTAAGACACGAGCTCAAAGTGCCCATTACATCCCAGCTGTCACTGCTGGCTGCAGGTGCTGTGTAACTGCACACACAAGGCGAGGGGGAACATCTTGGCCTGGCTACCGAGATGTCCCTGAAATCCCACCAAACTCCTAGTTCTGCCACATATGGCAATGCTGGCTTACACCTACAGATCTACCCTGAAGCAGTGATCACCATGATCAAAGCAAACAGCACTGCATGTCAGCACATCTCGTGCTCTCAGCCTGGGCTTCTGCTGTCATGCTGGTTCTGCTGGGTGCTGCCCCACATGCTGCCCTTGACTCTAAAGCTCATTTTCTATCTGGATATGCTGTTTTTACTCTCCCTCCAAGTTTTCTTTTCAGCAGAGGCAATAGCTCCAGTTTACATACTGAGTTTGTAATGCACAGAGATAAACATCAGTGAAATTATTTTTTACCTATGACTTCAGCAGAGATCTGTGCCTGTCTGCCTTCAGTTGAGAGCAAGCCTTTTAACACAGTGCATGGCTAAACCTCCTTTCCATCAGCTCTCCAATTCCCAGACATTTAGCATCAGTTTCAAGACTAACAAGTAAAATGCAGTAGTACAGCACTTCCAAGAAGGAAAACTTGAATGAGTAACTACTGCAGGGACAGTCTAAGCTTTCTGATGTGGACTCCACACTGAAGTAAGCTTTATTCAGAGAAAGCCATTGAAAAAAAATAATTCCTAAAGGTAATGCTTCAAAGAAGCAAAATCAACATCACCAGTGTGCCTAGAGAAATGGAGATCTCTCTCAGGGGTGAATGCAGCTACAGCACCTGAGATATAACCCACGTGTTCACGCACTATTGGCACTCCACCTAGCTCCTCTTTCTGAAGTCCTCTTCATCTCTGGTCTCTACAGCTGACAGTGCAATAAGCATTTGGGCTGCATAGTAAGTAGCCATGATGATGAAGCGCGAGTAGGGCACGGGGAAGCAGAACTTGTTAAGTGCAATGGTTAGATCGGACACCATGAACAGCATCGCGCCGATGCAGGCAGAGAGCTTGGTCCATGTCCAGAGATCGTTGCACAGCTGCATGCCGGCCACCGCCCGCCAGCCCATGAAGGCAATCAAGGCGATGTAGACAGCTACCAGGTAGGTGAACGGGCCTGAGAGGTAGGAGTACAGGAAGGCATAACAGGAACCGGAAACCAGGCCCATCAACAAGCCGGCTTTGAGGTCCAAAGGCTTCATGCCAAAGGCTGAAGAGTACAGGATGTGTGTGATGGCAAACATCAGCAGACCTGGAAAGAGGCATTGACACAGATCATCAGTGATGGGTAGTCAAGAGGTGAAGAAAACATGTGGCTATATTGGATTTTAAATATACCACAACAAGCACAGGCTTAGATTTTCTTGCAGTGTTATAACCCTTAACACTATCAATGAAAACCATACTGACCACTTAAGCTATTTAAATAAAAAAATAGTTGCATGGGAGATCAGCCTTAACACCAAGCCCCCAGCCTAAGAAAAAGCCCCAGCACAGCTGCAGCCAAGTACAGGTCTGCTGTGACAAAAGCCTTTCTGCTGGGAGGCCAGGTGAACTAAGCTTCTGCAGAAGGAACTGAGCTTGTTCTTCAGGTGTTCCTCTTCCCCTGCTTTGGGCAGAAGGGTGGGAGCAAGGCAGACCAAAGATCACTCCCTCCAACTATCCAAAGTGTTTTGCTCATAGCTCACATGTGGAAAAGGAAGGCTGGAATCAGAGCAGTGTAGGAACAAAATATGACAAAAGTTACCAATCCCTCTGAACCCAGATACAAAGCCTGACCGTATTTAGCCACAAACCCAAAGGCACTCAGGGACTAAATCTGGCTTCTACTCCATCTCTGCCCATAGCTGAGAAAAGCCTAAGCTGGAAAGAAGCAGCTGGCATATTTCAGAGACTGCATTGATGTGATCTGCCAACAATTTTATGGCTATTTTCAAGATTCAGATGAACCTTAGAGGGAATCAATCAGTGAAAATAAAATGCCGGCTTCCCTTTGAAGTGCAACAGTCCTGAGAAACGCCAGATGTGGGTGTTGGAAGGTCCTGCCTACATGTTGTTATTCACTTGCCACTAATCCATTTGACAACAATATGTCCCAATGTGTTGGCACAGCTGCTGACTCCTAGCTGTCATGACAATTGTAGATAATGGGCTCCAAACTGAGTCCAGCTCCTTGGATCCTCTGGTTCCCAGGCCCACACATGATGCACTGCAGGCTGTCCCACTTTATCCTGGCAGGGTTACTAGTGGAGCTGGAAGTTTTTATGCAGCTTTAAAGCATGAAATAGAGAAAAGGATCTGGCAAGCCGAGTCCTCCAGCAGGACACTTGTTCACATTTAATGTGTGATGCCATGGTGTAAAGGGCAGTCACTAAAACTTGCTGCTGGCAGACATTGTTTCATCCTAATACTCTTGTGTTGAGGCAGTGCAAAGAAGAGGAAGTGTCTCCTTGCCTTTGGAGTAGACCAGATTGGACATTCACTGAAAGCTCAGCCATGGTGGGATGAGAAGGGAACCTACAGGAGGGAGGGGTTGGTGGGGATCTGATCTGCAGGATGAGGCTGGAGAACATGGACAGTGTGAAGGGGAAGGAAGAGAAGCACAAAGGAGGGCAACCAGAAGCTGATGTTTCACAGAGCTATTGCACATCATGGGCACAGCACTGAGGAAACTGAGAAGGGATTTAGGACGTGAGCTGTTTATAGTGTTATAGTGCAGGAAAGGTTAGAGCCCAGGGAGATGGTAAGAAGAAGAAGGATACATCCTCCTAGGAGTGATGAGTGTTTTTTCCTTCAGTGGCATTATACAGAGTATTCTGGGACAGGGAACTGAAGAATGTGTTGTCCTTCATGCAGGCATCTGGCAGCAAGGAGGAGAAGGAGGAGAGGACAGGCTACAGCAGCAAAACAGAGGCCTGGAAAGGCAGTAGGAGTTTTGTGATATGTAGTAAGGCTGGTCACAAACAAGGCAGTCAGGTCCTGGGTTTACTCGTTCAACACCCACAAATCAAGCCAGGAACTGGGGAAACCTGTGACGGCTGCACAGGGAGGGGGTGCATTTCTCTCGTATTTCTCAGCCTTTAGCTTGGTCCTCCCACATCAGGCAGATCAGCCCTTCTCTCTGTCCACTTCCTTGCCCCAGGTTTCCTCAGGCTGGCAAAAAGGCTTCTTTGCTAGTCCCTGTCTTCTTCACCAAATGCATAAATTGTTTCTAAGTACCTGCCATCTAAGGAGGTGGATAATAACATTGTAAAGTATCTTCTACATGCACTAAGACACTAGTCAGAAAATAGCACGTTATTAGTGGACTGAAGCAGCAAAAATGAAAAAAGTCAAGTGTGCCAGGAGTAGGTTCCCAGGCCCTCACTTCCCTATAAAGTAATGAACAAACGTCCTTTTATAAACTCGTTGTCTCAAAAGCTATTCAAATCAGCCCAGTTTCCAACCCTTTTCAGTCCAAAAGCTAGAGAAATTGAACAGAAAGTACATTTTTATCCAGTATTTCCTCTTACTCTTCTGAAACTTCAAATTCCCACAACTGATGATGTCAAAAGGTTAAATATTGTCAGTTGTTGGCAACAACAACCTGGTGAGTTTCAAACAAGAGAAAATAAATTTTGCGAGCAAGGTGAAGGATGAAATGGATCAGTGTGCTTTATCTGCTTACAGCTGAAATGCAAATATTAACACTTCATTGGAAGATAGTAGCTCAGTGGGCTGAGATTTTCAAAATGCTCCAGTAGAGCTTTTCCTCCTCCTTAAGAAGAAAAATGTGTCTAAAGCCACAAAGCAGAACTTATCAGTTGTGAGACTAGGGTTAATAATCCAATTTATTTGCAGATTAAAACAATCAACCAGATACTGAATTGCTGTGACTGGTTAACCCTTCCTCTAGCACTGTATTGGAGAGGGAACTTGGAGATATACCATCTATGCGGAATGGAGAAGCGCAGAACAGTCCGTATACAAAAATGGTCATGGGGAGAACTGGGCCTCAAATGTTTTCCAAGCCACAGCTCGAGAAGCAACTCCAGGAGGCAAAACAGACACACAACCAGTCGGGCTGAGGCAACCTGCTCTGAGCCTGAGGCAACCTGCTCCTAACTCCTGTTAGGAGGAGGCCTATCAGTGGGAATGTCAACACTCAGCACAGAGGGGATGGCACCCCAAGAGAAAGCTGAAACTCCTCAGCAACATGCCCAAGGTTCATCCAGATAGATCCAATCCTCAGGGCCTAATCTAAACCCTACCAAAATCAGTAAAAATTTTTACATGAACTTTTAATGAGATTGGGCTAAGCCCTTGGGAAGCAGGATTAAAACCAGATTCAGAGCATTGGGCCTTTCATATCTGGCACTGCACACTCTTTCCTCTCATAAAGAAAGAGCTTGTGGGAATCCCAGAATAAAACTAAATACTAACCTCATGAGAGAGGCAAAAAATAAGCCTTTGACTTTCAGAGCTGACAACAGCACAAGTCAGAAAAGTTGCCTAATCTCATCATATTTTCCAGTGGGACAGTCACAGCAGCCAGTTAATAGTGGATGTTATGTGAGATCCTTGTGCTGGTTAAATAAACTTCAGAAAGCCCACCAGTCAGTTTAGCAAAGGACTCAACTGCTGCTTATTTCTTGTGACAGTCCAAGGCCACGGAGAGTGTTGCTGCAGGCAGGTTCAATATGGTTTTAAATGATTAATCTAAATCATTATGTTCAGTCTGCAAACTAGCAAAATAAACCAAACTCATTTTGCTCTGAGATGTGGATCTTTCTGTAGAGAAGACACACCACTGTGGTAAGGTTTGTCCTTGACTGACCATCATTTACATGTCTTGCAAAACAGATATATCTTGTACAACAGGCTGCATGATTCACACTGAGGAACCTGCAAGTAGGACAAGATTTCTGATGCTTTCATTTCTAGCATCCACTTAAAAACCTCCCCCCGGCTATGGGCTTGTCTATCAAAACATAAAGCTCCTCTCCACTTGCTCTTCACTGAGGACTTTTGCACAGTATGTCCTATCCCTGATCCTTGTAACAAAGGGCTGACAGATCTCCCAGCAGAGAGGTAGGAGGTAGATACTTCCCATAGCTTCATGGGAGCTCAGGAGTACCATAAACATTTCCTTCTCTTCCCCAGGGATATTCTGGCATGCCACCTTCTCAGCTCCAGCCAGCCGAGATGCTGTGACACATGCCAGGAAACTAAACCTGACCCAGTTACCTCTCTAATCTCAAGAGAAGCTCAAGAGAAAGACCCATCCATGGTGTGACTCTTCTAACATGATGGATTTTAGTCAAGGAATGAGGGCTTCCCAGTGCACGGGGCTTAAGCTGTACGTGAATAAACAAAACATGTGCCCCAGCAACTCATTACTAAATAAAGAGGATAACAGCTGGACTGTGGCATCCCTTTAGGACTGACAACATACTCACCATGAATGAAGTAGCCCTGCTCCTGCCAGATGAGAAAGGCATCTCCCACTGCCGAGAATATGAGCCCCGCTAGGATGCGGCTGGCACTCCGGTGTGACACTAAGAAGTTAATTCCATGCGCCAGAAGGAAAACCCACAGGCAAAAGATAGGCAGACATTTAATGAGAGCACTGAACCAGGAGGGGCTGGAAGTTGGCAGCCAGAGGACAAAATAGACACAAGTGGCTTTAAAGAAGGGCACCAGTTTGGGACCTTCACTCTTCACCTAAAGAAAACAAACATTAAAAAAGATAAATTAATAGGATCATCAGAAGCATCAGTGGAATAAACTTCATAACAGAACTGCTTCCTTCCTTTTGAAAGCTAATCTTTCATGTATACTGTCAGCTAGCAGCATTTCTACCCTGAGAACTGCTGGTTGAACTTGACCACAATCCTCAGCCTGGACCTTTGTGATCGTCTCTGCTGAAAACACTTCTGGCTGTCAGGATGGGGTTTGGGTGGTGGATTTGGAGGAAGTTTTAGATACCTTTTCTCTTTATTTGGTTCTACTGAAAACATTCAGACCATCAGTCAAACTCCTCTGGTGCTCTTTGACACCTATGTTGTGTTTAGACTAATCCCTTTCATACACCTTTCCGGAGCTGTGAAAATACTCCACCCCCAGATATATCCCAGCAGCAAACAAACCAGAAAAAGTGCAAATCCTCCCTTCCATTTTCACAAATCCTCACACTTAGTCAGTAGCAAATCATCCTGAGGATACAACCTCTCTTCTAAGGCATTCTTTCTCCTGCCCTGTAGCCTCATGCCTGGAGCCTGCTGTTGGCACCACCACATGACTTCAAAACCCGTCACATCAGCCTTGCAGGTGAGGATGTCATTTCCTCAGCTGACTAATACCAACATCAACCACGTGTTGCTTTGTTCTAGCATTACAGTAATAATACAGAACCCATACTGCAGGAAATGTTTTGACTCAGGGCTCTGTTGTGTAAATACACAAAAATGTAGCATGAGCACTTAGCTACCCATAACAAAGCCACAGCAGGGGCAGGGCACAGAGCTACAGACTCTGTCTGCTCTTGACATACATTTAGCTGAGAACACTCTGTACAATGATAATATATGTATTGTGATCACCTGCCCTCCTGTTATAATTCTGCATTTCAGTGCAGGTGGGGAAAACTTCACACAAGAAACAAAGCTATGATTTTATTTTCTCCTGAAGAGCAGCTGAGGGCCAAAATAAGGATCAAAGGAAAGGGACTGCCTCCTGTGCCTGACTGAGCTATGTCCTGGGGTCTAACAGGAGGCCTGTTTCCTCCTGCACCTAAGGCAGTGCAACATCCAGAGCTCCTCTGCAAGCAGAGGTTTACTCTCAACCTTCCCATTTCTTTGGTCAAGCAAGTCTTAGTTGCTTAGTATCACAACAACTTCCCTCTACTCATGGCCAAAACACACAGAGGCCTCATGCACTGGAGGAGGACACGGGGGAAAATTTAGAGGCATCAAAGTTGATTTCACTCTGCAGAGTCCAACTGGTCTTTTTTTTTTCCAAATCACTTGGCCCTATTTCTGCTTCCTTGCATCATGGGACATTGCCATGACACAAAAACAGCATCCATCTTCCTTTGATGCTGTGTGCCTTGGTGCAGACACCTAGAACAGATGAAGACTGCACAGGAAATATTCTGTGCTTACAGCGCTCAGGTAATAAAGCCTAATCTCATAAAAATTCTAGAGCTTTTACAGACACAAGCAAATCGAATCAGGTGAAGCTGGAAGACAGAGGCAGAGGCAGTGGAGGGCATCTTCACATGCAGTATCTAAAAAGGGAATGCAATCTCAGAAGCAGTGAGGCTATAAATAAAGGGCATCCCAAGAAGACAGCGCCTTCAAAATTGTTCTCACATCTGATGGAAATTTCCCCAGCATATCAGCAGTTTCTTGGCAGTAAGGTATTTCATTATACATTATTCATAGGCTATTGCCAACACAATTTTTAAACACTCCATTAAACAACCAGGCTACACAATTCACTAACAAAAGGACATCAGCAAGCCGTTAACTTTCTTGTATTACATGGGGAGCCATTGTGAGTCCTCTACTTAGATTGTCTAAATTAATCACCATTTACTACTCCTTGTCTGTATTCCTTGGGAAAATTCTGGTAGCAAATAACAAATGAACTTAAAAGTTACAAAAGCCCATGTAGTCTCATAGTACTGGGGTTGCCTGGGAACTATCAAGTATCATAAGGGAAAGAGTGCAGCCAAGCTTCCCCCTCCTTCAGACCCAGCACCTTGCTTTCCTAAAGTGACACATCAGGCTCTGACTGTCCAAAGCCAGTGCCCAGCTCCAGCTCTGCTTCCTCCCGTTCTGACTCTCTTTTATTAAAATGTAGTTGATCACATTCATCCTCTCACAGTTGGAGGCAACAGATGACAGTGATTCTGGCAGGGTTTTCTCCTCTCCCCCGCAAGTCGTGGAGGATCCCCACCATGCCGTAATGAGCCTGAGATCTTCATCGTGGAAAACTAACAACCTCCAGAGCTACACAGTGCGAAAGAATTGGCAGCAGCAACAGCGCTCCAGGCTCCTGTAACAGTCTCAGCTATGGTAAGTAGTTTTGTACCTCTGAAGACAAAAGTTTATGCTGAAAGATATAGCTGAAGTTCAGGCTGTTTGCAACACATCACAGTGGCACTGTTAAAAGCGTACAGGAGAGTATTTGGGTTAATAAACACATGAAGTTTTATTTAATACCTCACATTAACAGAAAAACACCTGCTAGAAGCAGTTACCATTACAATCACAGCTTGCCCTCCCCTGTGTGCATGCATGATGAGACAGGTTTTAATTACACTTGTCATTTCCCCAGGAACCCTGCCTTAGTGAATGTAAGATATGCCCTTGTGCGGAATGATTATGTTTGATTAACTTAAAATTACCATTTCTTACTCTCTGAATGTGAATTTTGCAAGCTCAGCCAGCATTATTTTAAAATAATGATTTGTATTATTTCCATGCTAATAATAATTAAGGAATTTTTCATATATAAGGGGTCAGATTCCAGTCTCAGTTAAGCACTATTTAAACGATTTACAGCGTTACAGAGTCTCCACGTAAGAATGATCTCATATATCTAAAAGGGCTAGAGGCTTCTCATCACTGAATTGACACTATTTCTTTACATCTTTTCTACAAGTATACTTCAGATGAGGTATTTCCAACCACACCCTTGCCCACCACTGAATGCTGCAGCTCAGTGGAGCCCCTGTTACAGCTCTGACCAAAATGAGGGACAGCACTTGCTGAGACAGAGGTACCTGTGCAGCTGAGGGGTTGGCAGCACATCCCACTGGGATAGTGTGGCCCTGGAAATACTTGGGAGAAGTCCTTCAAGAACAACTGAGGCAGCCAGAGGGTGAGGCTGGGGATTACCCTCCATTTGGACATGTGGCTGAGCCTTGGAAAGGACAAGTCAAGGCTGGTATTGGGAAACCATGTACCAACATGACTGGAGGCTGTGGCTTGAGGAAAGCAAGGCATATAATCCATGACTGGACTTGCCTGTACCTCAGGGAAGGGAACATTATTTCTTGGTTGCATGGATAAATTGCATTAGAGATGGAATGTGAGATGGGGACATGCTATGGTATTGGAAAAGAAAGCACATGACAGAGGTGACAAAGTCCTTTATGGTAATGCATGTGATTGTCATGGCTTTCAGCTGGGTTTTGCCATTTTGTTATAAATTTATTGCATTTTCCCCCAATTCTTTTCTCCTTCCACCACTTATTTACTCCATACAGAAATGCAGTACAGAAAACATTTTAAATACAATAACAAGGCAGTATTTCCAAGTTTTGAATTTCTAAACTGACCATAATTTAGGGCATTTTCTCAGCTGCTACGACAATTAAGTTACCTAGAGTCTTGAGAAATTAGTTTAAACTACTGTAAAGCCAAAAAATTTACAGCTGGCTCCTCTACTCCAGAATAAGTCCCATCCACAGAGGAACAGCTACATTCATAAGACAGTGCCCTGATTTTCTTTAACATTTTGGAGCCAATTGTCTGTATCTGTTTCACAAGTGGAATGAAGAAAATCCAGCTGCCACAGGGAGGGCAGCTTCCCCCTGAGGTACAGAAGAACATCAGAAGTTTGTTCCACTGAAATGCTAAAGTCGGACGAAAAGTCCTTCCTAAAGTCCTAAGCCTTGCACTGGTCCCAGGAAACAACATGGAGTATCAATGCTCTTCTCTCCACAAAGTCTCCTAAATCAGCCTGCACAGAAAATATGTATACAGACAGCTGCTGTGCACCAACCTGCTGTGGGGATATGGCTCATACCCACTGGGCTGTAAAATGCTGCTTCCCAGGAAACGTACTTTAAATATAAGACACCAGCTATTCTACAGAGCAACACTTAAGCACAAAAAAAAAAGCACTGGCCAAAAAAAAGCTGGGTCATTGTCCTTCACCCATCCATCCCAGCAGCCTTGGCTGGCCAAGTACCATTTTGTGTATCGACGTCTGAGCTGCTTCTCCTGGCTTTTGGCATGGATCCTTGCCTTGGTTCTGCCCTATTGTGACAATAGCTCTTACCCCCAGTCGTGTGCTAATAAATATTTATTTGGCTTTGTTGCCATGTTTGCTGCCACTTCAAGCCCATGGCTCATGCTTCTCATTCCCCAGAATATGTGGCGCTCTGCAAAGCACTGACCATCCTCTGTGCAGTCTGAGTCACAGAGGGGGAGAGTTGCTTCAACCTGGGGATGGACCACAATTAGGATAAAGTACATGTATGTGCTACAGGTTCTCATCTACAGAGCAATGGGGAACCAACACAATTCACCATCGGACTAAGCCTACAGGAAGCCCACCTTCGTGCACAGATCCTAGCCAGGGGCAGCTGTTTTCCTCAGGAATTCAACAACCTACCACTTTTTGCTAAACCAAGGAGGAATGCAGCAGTGCTGGGCAATTCCTGGCCATTAACCCGTGTGAGTGGACTGCAAAGCTCCCATCCTCATCCTCCTGGGCTTGCTTCCACATTCCCACCTTTGCTGAGATGGTGCAACATCAAACCTTCTGAATGTGTACACTCTGATATAAAAGAGGGAATTTTTAGGCAGGGATCCAGATTGGGTAATAGTGAGGATTCAGCTGTTTGGTATCCAAATTCACCATTTACACCTTCCACACAAACCAAAGGCCCCAGTGGCCACTCTGGCTGCTCATATCTGCACCCCTCC